AAACCACTTTATCTTTTCAATGACAAGTTGTTTTGGTGTAGAAAATAGCTTACATAGATGCGACAAAATACTAAACAGACTTAAATAATTCATTTTAACCTTGTGTTTTAAAAACAAAACAAAAAAAGAGAAAATAAACTGCCATGATGTTGTTTTTCAGTTTTTTGGGACAAATCCCAGGTGTGCTAATCTTACTGGTCATTTTCAGTTGAAGCACTTCACAGTTAAGGTTCTTTCTGGAGGCTTGGCAATTTCAAGAAATGAGTTCAGTTGAATGTATTGGAACAGGAACAGATGTAATGACAGCCTATGTTGTGCATAGTGTTGCATATTATACAATAACTACAACCAAACTACTTATAAATTATTATATAAATAAGATTTTAGTTGAAGGAACCAATAAGATTACAGAAGGTGGGTGGTGCTGTAGCAGCGGGAGTATGGATCACATCTTTCTCAAATCTAGGATTCCGAGAACAACACAAAAGATAAAAGGTTGAGATAACATGACCTATGAAGAAAACTTTTAAAAGCCATTTCCCCCCCGCCCTCCCAAGAAAGCATGTTTAATCTTGAAAAAAGAAGTCCTGTGGATGGAGTGGGGGAAAATGAAGAAGACATTGATAGTTCTCAAAATACTTTACTTTAAAGTCGCCTAAGGAGAATTGTGATAAATGGTTTTCATGTCCTCTGATGGTTAATTTACAGCAAAGGGAGGTTTAGATTAGTTAAGAAAAACTGTGACACTATGGATAGTTAAGTAGTAAAATAGTTACCAAAGGAGGTTTTGGAATCCCTATCCTTGGAGGTTTTTAAGAACAGGTTAGATAGACGCCTGTCAGGGATGATCCTTCCTCTGGACAGAAGGATAGCCTATATGACCTTTTAAAGGCTCTTCCAGCCTTAAATGGCTATGGTTCTATATAAAATGTATGCAGTGGGATTCTTTTACAGTGGAAATTTTTTTCACAGAAGAATTTCACTCAAAAATAGTTTGTACATTACAGTTCATAGAAACAATTGAGGACTTGTCTTTTGTTATAGCCAAATTTATTTTTAATAAACAGTATACATATTAGGGATGTTCGAGTGTAAATGACTAACCATTTAACCAATAAGCAAATGCTAATTGGTTAACGGTGTTGATTACACTCAGCAAAGCCTCTTCCCTGGGGTCCAGGCAGGCAAGGACTGGCAGCCCTGCTGCTGGGGAGGAGGCTTTGCTGCGGGCTCTGTAGTTTAAAGCTACACGGTTACCCTATTATTCAATTTTTATCATCCCAATACATATTAATACATAAGGACTTAAATTATGAAAGATTTAAGGAAACATCCTCGTAGATGGGAACAATAGTTGTTTTCAAAGTGATTCTTTGCATAAACTGTTTTGTTAGAGCAGTCAGCCTTCTGTAGGAATGATCTGATACAATGCTTGTTTCCTTCAATTAGTTAAGCAAATATGTTTTCATTGTTCTATGAAATCTTGGTGTGCTGCAAAG